AAAAAAAATTATAAAATATATTATTTTTAATTAAAATAAATTTCACCAGTAATCTTTTAAAAAAATTAATTTAAAAAATCACATACATGATATATATATTTTTAATTAAAATAAATTTAATAATAATTTTTTTTTTGAAAAATCACTGACAGAATATATTTTAATTTTAATTAAAATAAACTTTATCAAAAATCTTTTTTAAACGTAATTATTTTTTTTGTAAATGTAAGTACTTTTTTGTTATATTTGTTTAATTTTATAGATCTAAATACTTTTTGGTTCAAAAAATATTTAGGGGTTTACTCGTTCAAAATATGAATGTTCATTGGGTTTTTTTCCCTATTTTTTCACTATTTTACCACTTTAACTAGTTGTACAAGTCATAAGAATGTATCCAACATGTTTTATAAAAGTTCAAGAAGTTATTTAACATGTTTTGGATTGTTCAAGGACTTATTTGTTCCAAAAATTGTCCAAGGAGTTATTTAACATTTTTTGAAATGTCCAAGGACTTATTTGTTCCAAAAATTGTCTAATGACTTATTTAACATATTTTGAAATGTCCAAGGACTTATTTGTTCCAAAAAAATTGTCCAATGACTTATTTAACATGTTTTGAAATGTCCACGGACTTATTTGTTCCAAAAAAAAGTCTAAAAACTTAATCATTCCAAACAAGAATGTCCATTGGTTTTTATTGTACTTTTCCCATTAGATTATGAATAATCTATAGCCATCTAACATAAAAATAATAGAAAAAATATAAAATATAAAATAAAGCAAAAATACAATTATACCCCTAATCACTTAATTGACCCTTTGATATGAAGGGAAAAAAAATCTGATTGGCTAATGTTGGTTAAAAAATGAATATTATTTACTTGGTTAACAAATGATTGTGCCTATATATAGTGAGGTCCATATTTAAATCAAGTTTTTATAAATTATATATCGAGTTTTTCAATATTTTTACAAGATTTTCAAATTTATTACCAAAAAAATTCAAGTTATTTTTTAAGTTTTTCAAGTTATTTTTGACCTTTTTTTTATGTTTTTGTAGGTGTTCCAATACTAAATCTCAAAAATTGTAATCATAAAAATATCTATAACATTTTTGTGTAAAAAAGATTTTAAAAAACTATTTTTAAAGTGTATTTAAATGACCCATTTAGATATTTTAAAGTGTATTTCAATAAGATGTTGTCTAAAAAAAAGA